ATGATGATCTCATCGACAAACAGTAGCTGTCTGAGATAGCTTCTGTTCGCCGATGAGATCATCATTGCCCCTCTTGCCGCTCGCCCTTCTCTGCATTTGCCCCTCTTGCCGCTCGTCCCTCTTTGCGCATAAGATAATCTTCTCTCTATAGATCTTGTTATACTCACGAGAGCTGTAACGTCTCAATGTTAAGGCGTTGATTATTTACGTCACGGTATCAATTACCAATGCTTTATTATATGTCTTGTAGCTTACAATATGACTTTTTAGAACTACAGAAAATAAACCTTTGCTGCTAACTGACTCGAGCGAGTGCCTTCCTCCATCTTGTCTTCTTCCTCGTGACACTCATTCACCCGACCACAGCGCTGCTTATATACTCTCATGACTGCGCGAACCTTACTACTATTCTTATAACTACTAACATGTCGCCCGCCTTGAAAGACTTGGCTTTCAACAATACATTGCACGTAACTTCGTAACTTATGAATATGTTGGGAACGCTTAACTTATACTTAATCTATATCGATAGGCAAAATACAGAGTTGAGCAACCGCGCGTTGTACTACGCTTTTAGACGTTTTCACGCTGACAACTCGAATGTGTTAATCCTTTCCACGATGACATTCAATTATTCTGCCTAATGGCCACCGCATTGACGGAACATGATCATCTCGTAGAATCACCATCATGCCGATTTTGATTGGAGACACGTGCTCTTTACGATTCCATTTGAATCTCTGTTGGAGGGTCGATAAATATTCGGATGACCATCGAGACCAGAAGGATTGAACGAGTTTGGTGAGGTATTGGAAGCGAGTAAGTCGGTTTGAGGGCGACTCTAAGAGAGAGCGTTGTGGAAGAGAGGTGAGAGATGCCCCAATCAGAAAGTGACCAGGTGTTAATGCCCTAAAATCTTCAGGATCATTCGACAATGGGGTCAACGGTCGTGAATTAAGCACAGTCTCGATTTGAGTTAAAATAGTATACATCTCTTCGAATGTTAGACGCGCTTCACCAAATATCTTTCTGAGATGAGTTTTAACGGATTTGATACCCGCCTCCCATATACCACCCATGTGTGGCGAATACGAAGGGATGAAGGTCCATTGAATCGAATGCTCTGAACAGTATCGTTTGACTGTCTCTTGATGAGAGGATGTTCTTACCAATTCATACATTGCTTGCAACTCGTTTTTCGCACCTTTAAAGTTGGTGCCATTATCAGAGTAGATTCGGGTACATAAACCGCGGCGCGCGATAAACCTTTTTAAAGCATTCATAAACGCAACTGTGCTTAAGTCGGAGACTAATTCTGTGTATTGCTTTCGTTGACATGCAGACGAATACGCAGACGTACGCTTTATAAGTTTTGTTGCGACTAAGTTTCAAGATAAACGGACCTCCATAATCTATTCCAACATTGGTAAATGCGCGAGTGCAGGTCACTCGATGTTTCGGTAAGTCACCCATAACGTGACGCGTTTGACGCGGTCGTGCGCGGGTACAAATTACGCATTTATGTAATACTTGTCTAATCGTGGACCTTGCGGACAGTATCCAAAATGACTCTTGCAACGTGGCAAGCTTATGCGCCTAAATGCAAATTCTTGAGGTGCTCCTCACGAATAATTAATCGTGTAACATGGTGATGAGCAGGTAATACGGCTGGATGCCGCCGCGTGTATCCGATCGGAGCGTTGGCTAGTCGTCCTCCGACTCGGATTATTCCTTCCTTATCCAGAAACGAATGTAATGTTATCAATGAACTATTGTGCTTGACCCGCTGGGTATCCTTTAAGTCATTGAGTTCTCGTGGGAAACAGCGGGTTTGTACAGCTCGGATGATGATCTTCAGTGCTCGTTCCAATTCGTTGACACTCAGTGCATGCTCGCGTTGTGACGTTTTGGTTCGGCAAGACTTCCTCCAGCGCATACAGTAGGCGATAACTCGCTTGAGCTGAGAGAAAGATGAGAATCTTTCAAAGATATAGTCAGCATTTGATATCTGCGTACATGAGATAATATTTGATTTTGTTTCCGGAAGCTCATCTGATATGCGTGGAATGTCTTCGCTGAGTTTGCTTTCAGGATTGCTCAACCAAGCAGGCCCCTGCCACCAAAATTGAAGATGTTCAAGCTGGTGTGGATTCACCCCTCGCGTAATGATGTCAGCCGGATTGTCCTCAGATCTGACATGATGCCACATGTTCTTCAGGGTTAGCTGTTGAATCTCTGTGATTCGGTTGGCAACAAAGGTTTTTCGTAGATATGGTTCGTCGCCAATCCAAGCTAACACAATGGTGGAGTCGCATCACAGATATCGAGCATGAATTGGTATCGACAGTATTTCTATAACTTGATGAACTAGCTTGGCTAACAATACTGCTCCACATAATTCCAGGCGTGGTATAGAGATTGTCTTAAGTGGTGCCACTCTGGATTTTGCACAGAGCAGACGGATGAGTTGATTTCCATGTTTGTCGACAGAGCGCACATACAAGCATGCTCCGTAAGCACCTTCTGATGCATCTGAGAAGCCATGTAATTCGATCTTTACAGGCTCTCGACAGGCTACTAAGCGTGGAATACGGATATTGTTTATTGCGGAGAGGTTTTGTGCGTATTCGATCCATTCTGTATGCAAATTGTTTGGCAAAGATTTATCCCACGCTAATTTCAATTGCCACATCCGCTGTAGTAGCATCTTCGCCTTTATTGTTGCGGGTCCTATCAATCTAAGAGGGTCGAATATTTGTGATGTAATAGATAATACAGCGCGTTTCGTGATTCTAGTATCGGTGTCTTTCAATGTGACACGATACTGGAAGGTGTCCTTCACGGAGTTCCATGTGAGTCCAAGAGTTTTTACTTCGTCTCCGATGTTGATGGTCTGTCTCTCTTCTTCTTCAATTGGTGAGATGAGAGATGGTTCGTTCGAATTCCATTTTGTCAATTGAAATCCCGCAGCATCTAGTATCTTAATAATATCTCGCTTTAACGACTGCAACTGATTTAATTCATCGCAACCAGTTAGCAAGTCATCCACATAGAAATCATGACAAATTACTCGACTAGCCAATGAATGAGCTTGTTGATTATCAAGCGCTACTTGTTGCAATGCCCTGATGGCTAGAAAGGGAGCTGAGGCTAACTCATAAGTCACTGTGTTTAGTCGATATTCTCGTACCGGTAGGTTGCTGTCAGGCCTCTACAATATCCGTTGGAGATCGCGCTGATTTTTACGCAAGTTGACTTGTCTATACATTTTGATAATGTCTGCCGTTAATACAAATTGATACTGTCTGAAACGTAACACCGTTGCAAATAATGTCGGTTGAATAGTAGGTCCCACGCGTAGAATGTCGTTGAGTGCTACACCGGAGCTGGTCTTTGCTGATGCATCGAATACCACTCGTAGTTTTGAACGATCGTTAAACTGAGTGATTACAACGTGATGTGGAATATAATGTATTTGCGAGGGCTCGCATTCCGTTTCAGCTACTAAGCTCATGTGGCCTAACTCTGAATATTCGTTCATAAATTTGAGATACTGTTCCTTCACATCAGGTTGCAATGCAAGCTTTCTAACTTGTAGAATCGCTTTAACGCGTTGTTACGAGACTCGCCTAGTTCGCTTGGATCTCTTCGAAAGGGTGGACTGACGGTGAATCGTCCATCCTTTTCTTGCGTATAAGTTTGTAAGAAATCCGTCTCACATAATTTGTCACTCTTGGAGCGGGGTGACTGCTGCTCGACTTCTTCGATTATCCAAAATTTTTCGACTTGCTCATGAAGTGATGCATCTGACGTTGCATAACTTAATCCTGCTGTTTGCTTATTCTCTGGCATTATGTCTCCGGCCACGATCCAACCGAGATGAGTCTTCTGAAGAATGGGTTGTTCTTGCCCAGCCTGATCTGTCCGATGCAAAGCAAATCCCAGAAGATGCTCGCTCCCAACAATATATCCACCTTGTCCGGGACGTAAAATGTATTGTCTGCCAGGGGTAACTGTGGCGGAATTCTGAGGTGATCGATTGCAATTGCAGTTACAGGTAGCCTTTCGATTATTTGTTCTGCGACTAAGCAGCGTAACTTACAAGGGAACGTTCACAAGTGTCCCCCCCCGATTTGATTCTCCTTGAAATATGTTGTAAAACATACAATTTGAGGAGACACGTATTTTTTTTATAGCTGCCTTATCTCAAATTTAAGGAGTGAAACACCCCTTTGAAAAAAAACGGTTTTTTTCTTTGTGTAACTATCGCCAAAACCGTAGGAGATATAAAAAAATGTTTTAAATAGAAGTTGTAGGGCTTGTAATGGGCTATATAACTGTGTAGTTGGATTTTCAAAAATGTTATTTTTTAAATTTACCCCTACCCCTTGTTATTATTTTTTCGAATTTCAAAATTTTTGTAATGACAAAAGTTGTAGCATTTTTTACGCTGAATTCAACCATATATGATTTTATTATGTTCCGAAATCGCATCTTTCAAAAATGAGTCATCAAGTATCACATTATATGTGTCGCGCTGCATGACGCATCGTTTATATCGCACTTGTGTTGTGCAATAGTCGCAAAATGAATATAAAAATGATATACAATATGTTATCACATATTTAAGGAAGAAAAATTTACTAAAATTGTTGCTAAAACATCCCTTCCACATTACATTCTTATAGATAATCACTGCATTTCGTGCGCAGCGCGTTGTTATATGCAAGTTAGCTATACATGTGTATATAAAATGTGAATATTATTTAATCATAAATTAAGAAAAACAAGTATAAATATATTATTAATTTGAAAACATCACGTTTGAGAGACGTGATTTTTACACGAAAGATTAGATTATGTAATCATAAGTTAATAATAAACAAGTGTGAATGGAAGCTACAAATGCGTACAAGAGGCCTACATTCATAGTCTGTGAAACGAACTTGGTGAAATCGTATCTGCAACTGTTTTTCTTTTCTTAAATTTAATTTTCGGGAAAAGAATTATCAATTAAAATGATTATCAATCCACTCAACGTTGCTAGACTTTTACTAACATCAATAACTACTATGTATCTTATGGAAACGCCAGTAAATAAAGCCGAAATAGAATTAAAAGAAAATATTCAAAAGTTAATATTGGAGAATATTCATCAATTTAACGGATTAGAAGTGACAGAAGAAACATCGCTTGATTATGAAGAACCTGATACATTGCATACTTTTGAAATTATTGAAGAAAATGAGGAAGCATGGAATGAAGATAATTCAAATTCTCACAATTGGCAATGCCATGATGACGACAATTTTAATGTTTCTTACAAAAGGCGAGCTGTTGAATATTGGCGGCAGTCGGACAAAGAAAATCGTCCTTTCAAGTCAGTACAACACACATTTAGAAGAATTTCATCTGTACGTCAATTGAGGCGATGGGAAGAACAGTTAGAGCACGGTGGAAATCGTCTTGAAAAATTATCTCATATTTCCAAAGCTACTCATGATAAATTTAATGTAGCTGTGCAGACAGGACTAATAATTCATGATGTTGATATAAAAAGATGGGCCTTGGAAGCTCAAAGAGAAATAGGAGATTTAGATCCTGTATTTCAAGCATCTCCTAGTTGGCTATTACGATTTAAAAAGTCTCATCGAATTGTGTCCAGAAAAATAACAAAATTCATTACAAGAAAAACGTTAGAAGATTCTCATAATATACAAAGAGAAGCCGAAAATTTTGTAACCGTAGTAAAACCTCTCATTGAACGATTTGGATTGGAAAATGTATATAATACAGATCAAAGTGGATTTCAATTAGAAATCCACTCTGGAAGATCACTATCTGACCAAGAAATGAAGACAATAGACCGTGTGGTGCAGTCAGTATCATCAACTACACATTCGTACACTATTCAACCAACAATTTCTTGTGATGGAAAATTACTGTCACCTTTGTTTATCGTATTACAAGAACATAGTGGTACTTTTGGGCCTAGAGTACAAGAAAATTTATTCAGAGCATCAAATATTATTGTAACTGCTTCGAAATCCGGTAAAATGACATCAGGTATGAGATAAATTTTAGCTTTTTATATCTTATAATATATTTTAATCTTATATAAAAATATTATTATAATTATAATTATTATTCACACTTTTCTTTCTATTTTATAGATTATTTTAAAAAATGGTTGGAAGAAGCTTATTTTCCAAATGTAGGCCGCGATAGTGTTCTTCTTATGGATTCATGGAGCGGGCAATGTCCAGCAATTGTTACTGATTTAACACCAATGGAAAAACAAGTTACTACTATGGTAATACCGAAAGGAACTACAGGAAAAATACAGCCGTTGGATGTTTACGGGTTTAGAATCTGGAAAAACTTTGCAAGAAGATTTTCGGATACTGTTCTATTATTGAATTATGATATAAATTTACATCAGCGAAATAATATTATAAAATTGCAATCTTTAATACACAATCAGTTATCATCTCCTCGATATCAAAATTTATTTAAATATTCATGGTTTAAAAGTGGATATACGAATGAAAGACCAGAAACATTTAAAAATCCAGTAGAATTTAGTTTTGAACAAACATCAAGCACATGTGACATTGAAGATTGCAATGATATAGCTGTAATACAATGTTCTTGGTGCGGAAAATCATTATGTTTAAAACATTTTTTTATAGAGTATCATTATTGTAACATCTATAACGGGTGTGACTAAATTTAATATATATAGCTTTAATAATAATTTTAGTAAACTTTTCTTCCTCAAATATGTGATAACATATTGTATGTCATTTTTATATTTATTTTGTGACTATTGCACAACACAAATGCGATATAAACAATGCGTCATACAGCGCGACACATATAATGTGATACTTGATGACTCATTTTTGAAAGATGCGATTTCGAAACAT